CTGGGAATGCAAAATTAAAAACCGATCAAACTGTTTTCGATGTGTTCCTGAATTTGGTTTACAAGTATTTTATTGAAAATTTTAGTCTCTGTTAATTGGAAATATTGGCCTACAGATTTTTTTCTTGTTTTTGGTCTGGTTTTGGGGTTAGGGTAATACTGGTTTTGTAAAAAGAATTTGGAAATGTTCCTTCTTTTCTATTTTGTGAAATAATTTGATGAAGAATCGTGTTGGTTCTCTGAAGATCTGGAAGAATTCTGTACTGAATCTATCTGGCTCTCTGGGCATTGTTTTAGTTAAGAATTTTAATTATTGCTTCTATCTTGTTGAATGTAATTAGTCTAAATTATTATCTATTTCACCTTGATTTAATTTCAGAATGTATCAATATGTATCTAGAAATGATCCATTTCTTTTAGATTTTCCAGTTTGGTGGAATACAGCTTTTTTTTTGGTTGTTGGAGACAGGGACTTTCTGTGAATCCCTGGCTATGCTGGATCTCGCTCTGTAGACTAGGCTGCCCTCGAACTCAGAGCACTGCCTTCTTCTGCCTCCAGAGTGCTGGGATTAAAGACGTGTATCACCACTGCCTGGGTAAAACTGCCTGGCTAGAATATAGGTTTGTAGAGTACTGTGTTCTCATGAGTCTCTGAGTTTGCTAAGTGTCTATTATTACCACAATGCTAATATTACATATAGTCTCACTAATTTGAAGTGGAAAGTAAGAGTGGGGGACAGTTGAGGGGCAGGGGGGTTGACTGATGAGTGATGCCTTGATTTGGCGCTTTCATATAGAATGTTTACACCATGTCTGATTTGGGGGACTTCTTGAGTCTAAGGAGCCAGAGAGCCCCAGTTTCTGGAATATTTGCATGTTTCAGGAAAGAACAGCAATTATAATTATTTCAAAGCTATCTAGAGTATTTTTATAATGAATCTGCATAATAAGCAAGGGAATAATAATCATCAGTTGTCACTAAAAGGGGAAGTGGGCACAGGGAAGTTAAGAAGCTGGTCTGCGTCTACAAGGCGAGGAAACAAAGGGCTGAGATTGAAACCCAAGTGGCCTGGTATCACAGTGTCAAACTGTGTGTTCAGCTACCTTTGGAATTAGAGTGTGCATTAGCACGCTTTTGTGTTGCTGAAGTAATTCACACTGCAGATGGGTTCACTGTACCTACATGTTGGGGTGAAGCCTTGTGTAAGCAAGTAGCCTTTAGAGCTCAACAAACATGAAACTACACATCCTAAAAAATCTAAGTTTTACACTTGTACCCAGAGAGATAAAACACCAATGGAATAGCATGTGTCCACTGACAAAACAATCTCCCTTTCGCATCATCGTTTCTTCCTCTCACCAATTCGTTACCATACACAATACCAACTTTAAGTAAACAAACGAGTAGCAGCAAACACTACACCCACACTCTTCATTACAGCACTCTGCAAGGCTCCTTCGTCAATATGGCTCATCTCTAAAGTATCCCTTACAAAATGATACACACATGCATATATGTTCCTGCCTCCCCCAAACACCCCATCTCCTCATCAACACTTTCAGCTGGGTGCAGAGCACAGGCTCCCTTTGAGTTTTCCTGGCCTCAGATCTGGGGTTTCTTACTATGTAAACAATTCTCAGCCAGACATCAACGACAACCATTCTGTGTTGCATGTTCTCAAATGTTTACTGTTTATTCCATCGTGTCCTGATGGATTTCTGTTGCTGCCATTACTTCCCATGTTGGCTTATTGTCTTCCCATTGCTGCTGTAGCTAATTACCTTACATTCAGTGGCCCAAACAGCCTGTGTGCCATCTCACAGTTCTGTGTGGTTGAAGCCCAGGGTGCCATCTCACAGTTCTGTGTGGGCTAAAGCTGGCTCTTTGTTAACTTCTGACATCAAATTATCTATCAGCAGAGCGGGGGTTCATTCTAGATGCTGTAGGAGTAAGTGAGCTCCCAATATTGGCCAAGTTGTTGGCTAAAGTCAATTCAATGTGGCTATGAAACTTACTGATTTCTTGCTGGCTGCGAGCCAGGGCTATTCTTCACTCCTAGCAGCCTTTCTCTAGTTCCTGGTTGTGCCCTATTAGACATCTGAGCAGCCAGCTCTGTTTTCTTCTGCCTCCACTCTGAGAAAGTTTTCTTTCTTTCTTTCTTTCTTTCTTTCTTTCTTTCTTTCTTTCTTTCTTTCTTTCTTTCTTTCTTTCTTTCTTTCTTTCTTTCTTTCTTTCTT